CTCAATCTCGGCAGCTTTTTATAGATATGGGATCGGATAATAAAAAATTATTCACGATTCCAAGTGTTCCTAGGATTAAATTTTCAAGAAATGATTTTGATGCTGTGTTTGTAGATCCAGAGTACCAGAATACAGAACATTCTGAATATGTCTCGGAGCAAATTCAAGCAACGGGGAAAAGCTATGGTATAATTGTTAACAGCTTCTACGAGCTGGAATCAGTTTACGCTGATTACTGGAATAGGGAAATCGGTCCGAAAGCATGGTGTGTTGGACCGCTTTGTCTGTCGGCGCCGCCACCACAAAACAAGGCGGAAAATGGCCAAACACGGTCGTGGATTCAATGGCTTGACGGAAAGCAAGAAGAAGGAAAAGCAGTTCTGTATGTGGCATTCGGGTCACAAGCAGATATATCAAGAGAACAAATCAAGCAGATCGAAATTGGGTTGGAAAAATCTGGCGTCCATTTTTTGTGGGTTGTTCGGAATAAGCAAGCTGAAGATGATGATGGGTTTGAACATCGGGTGAGAGACAGAGGACTGCTGGTGAAAGAATGGGTTGATCAGAGGGAAATTCTTGAACACTCTAGTGTTCAAGGATTTTTAAGCCACTGCGGATGGAACTCAGTAATGGAGAGTATATGTGCACATGTACCAATTCTGGCATGGCCGATGATGGCGGATCAACCACTGAATGCAAAGATGGTGGTGGAGGAGATTGAAATTGGACTGAGGCTTGAGATTTTTGATGGTTCTGGGAATGGTTTTGTGAGCTGGGAGCATTTGGAGAAAATGGTGAAAGAGTTGATGGAGGGAGAGATGGGGAAGAAGGTGCGAAAGAAGGTGAAGGAGATCGGAGGCGCCGCGGCAAAAGCAGTTGCAGAAGGCGGGTCCTCTTGGAAGGCATTGAATGAGCTCATAAATGAGTTGCATGCAGAAACGGTCAAGTGAAGAACTTTGTTTGGTTTTATTTATCATAAAGTATTTAATTTTGAGCAGTGCTGTAATTTTTATTTAGTTATTTTTATAATAATATTTTTCATAATTAATAATAATTAGCTTCATTAACTCATCATTTATCAATAAAAAGTAATTATTTTTAATTTTTAATTTAACTAAAAATTAAAAGGTAACTAAAAAATACTTAGTACTCTATCGATCCCATTTATATAAGTTGATTTTGTTTTTCACACAAATTAAAAAAATTTATTTAATGTTGTTGAAAAATAATTTTTTATCAAAAATTTTTCTAGTTTACCTTTATTTATATTTGTTTTCAAGATTAAGTGAAAAAAAAATTAGTTATAATTAAATAAGGGTATATTTTTAAATAAACAAAATAAAATATTTTCTATAAAAAACAAGACTATATAATTGAGATAAGAAAATATAAAAAGTCAACTTATATAAATGAGGAGGAGTAGACCGATTTCAAGATGCTTTCAATTTTAGATCACTACAATACTATCAGGCTCTAGTATTTATTGAACATGACACTGACATTTTTAGAAATGGTTACAATAACTAATGGCTATTGAAATTGTATAAGACTAATTTATCATCATCCACTATATTATTTGCGCAATGTCAGTAGCATGAGAATTGTTGGTGGGAAAAATTATGATCAACAAATTCCTCTCATAGAGTCGGAATTTTGTCCCCCTAAACTATCTAAATTTGACGCTCAAACTGAAGCAAGAGGAGAAATGGCTATTTGAGAGAGATTTGTTGATCATAATTTTTACTGCCAACAATGGGCACAATCTGTGAAAATTTGAACAAAGAAAACCATGAATCAATTTATTGAAATTGAGAAACCTTCGAAATTTGCAAAAATGAGTCAAGCGTAGGTGAATTTGGAGTAGGTAAGTTTGTCGGAGGTTGGAATTAAGAAGGTCAACTTTAATCTAATTAATATGAGAATGAGTTTAAAGCCGCGATGAAGGAATACTGAAGTAAGACATCAAGAGAATCTATCCCCTGCTTAATGCCATCATCTACGAAAAAAGTTGGTAGCAGAAACCATACAAAAAATGGCTAAAGAACTCAACTCATTAATAGTGGATCATGCTGCTCTATGTGCAAAAATAAGGATCTTGGAAGGCTGGCCTACTGAATGAGGTACAGTCGATTACAAACATGAAACTTTCTGCAGTGCCCATCTTGGGCACCTCGGTGCTTGGTTCGGTCAGAAATGATAGACTGCACGTCGTTCAGTGTTTTTAACACAACTTCTTCATCCGATATTTGATTGAGATGATTCAAGATGCGATAGAAAGATAACGCAAAGAGCTACAAATTTGATTCAGACATCATTCTCCAATTCGATTGTTTGATTTGTCAAAAATGGGTTTCAATGTGAGGCTGAGATTCTAGAGCGTAACTTTTCGGTTGGAAATTGATTTGAAATCATATTTTGCCTAAATTTGATCCTTTGATATCTTTCCCCATCCAATTGACTCCTAACACTCTTTTATCTTCATCGTGAGGTTCGATACAAGTTTTGATTATTTGTATTTTAGTCCCCGAACTTTAGATATTTTACAATTTGGCCTATTCTCTCCAATTTTGCCAACTTTTGCTTAATTCCTCCAATTTAATCAACTTATATCACAACATCAAAACACACATTAAAACTCTCAAAAACATTCTCAAGGGTAACAAAATAATAAATTAAGTGGTATAAATATAATGAGTGTGGAGCAATCATTAGAATGTTTTTGCTTTGGACATGATAAAAGACCTCAAATCTAATATCTGAGAGGAGATGTTTTTGGTCATAGCTAAAGTGTCTACACGCATCCAGGGACCAATGGGTACTTCAATTGGTTCCCTCTTCTCATCCACCAATGAGTGGTGAGTTTCCTTTTTTCTAGGTAGGTACCTCTTGGATTTGGAGTTTGTTCCAACAACTGTCATACGTGAGATCCTGATTGTCTTCTTCCTAGTGTTGTCACTTGCTGAGGAAAGGAATATATTACCAACCAGGTGTAAGTTATGCTCTAGGTCCAATCGACTTTGGACATAAACACTTTTAATATATAGTTGATGCGATTTATGACAGTTCTATTATTTAATTAATTAATATTCAATTGAATTAAATAATGGAGTTCGTATATTCAAATCTTAGTAATTTGTTAATCACAATGAGTTGTAATTGTGAGATACAAATTACATATGATTGAATCTTAAATCATCCGTGGTCGTAAGTAATGTCGAGATACGGAGATCTTTATTACAGATAAACTATCACATGTGACATTTCATACTTGTGAAGTAAGTAGCTGGATCACAAGCTAAAATGTGGTGATACTTGAATGAACACGTGGATGTTTTGTTATAGAACAAAACATTGAAGACCCACTGAGAGATTCCACATGGATAACTATCTAAGTGTCAATAGTTAATATCTAATGTTCGATAGTGGAATTGGTCCTTTAACTTGAGGTCATCATGGTATCTTATATGAGGACAGTCATATGTTGGCGATGTTGGATGTTGCTCTACCAAGAACCGCTAATACGACATCGTTCAGGATGTCAAGAATCGTATGAAAGTTGTGAATGATCATAGAGGATTCATCACTCTTAGATAGTAAGAGATTATGATCCACATTTCATTCAACTAAATCGATAACGAAATCCTTAGCAAATGTGTACTCAAAGGTCAAAAAGGAGTTTTTAACTTATATTGACTTAATAGTGCAGAAAGATATTATCGATAATCAGGATTGACACACTTTCATATCTCGTGATTGGTCGAATTATATTGACGAATGGATTATAGTTTCACGGTAAATAAACAAGTTTGGTTTTATCATATCACGTGACATTTTCCATCACATGTATTGTCCTGATACATTGCTAGATGTCAATCTGGGACGGCGAACGTGAATTGGTGATAAATTAAAAGGATGTTTTAATTTATCAATTTTGATTAAATTAAAATAATAATTCATGACGTTAGGCAACGTATTGGGAACCTGATGACTCTCACACTAAAGGAAAACTAGAAGATTTTGATTTGTCAATTAATTAATTAGATGCTTATTTGTAGGCCCGAATTAATTAATTCATGGACCTGATTTAATTAAATAAGTTAATTAAATATTGGATCAAGTTAGGAGACAGACCAAGCCCATTTGTTCTTTTATATATAAGCAACAAGGGTTTACAATTTTGTAGAGAATTTTCTTTCTAGCACAAGAGAAGAAACTCTTATTCCTACAATCTTGTTTTTTGTGTGGATTTTCATTGAAGGCTGGACAATTGGACAACTGTGGGTGGCGAATCAAGATTGTTGAAACTGAAGAATAGCAAAAGAGTTTGCAGATCTCGTAAAAGGTACAATCTTTATCACAATTTCAATCTAAACATAAAGCAGATTTTTGGTGGGAATTGAAATTTGTTTTATTTTATGCTACGTATGATAAAGCAGATTCCTAACAGTGGCATCAGAGTCAAGTTTGTGTTTTTTAGAAATTGTTTTGAGTATTTGAGATAATTAAAAGTCGATTTTGTTCTTTTCTTATTTCTAGCAATTAAGAAGAAATCTGATTCTATATTTTTTGAAATCTGGTTCTGAAATATAAAAGAAAATTGATCTGAAAAGGCGAGTGGCGACGACCGTCATGGTGACAGTCGCTGCATGCAGCAGCAATATGTTGCTGCGAGGTCAGGAGCAGCATGGAGCTTACAACGACAGCAATGCTACTGCAACAGCATTGCGAGCGCCTTCACGGTGTTGATAGCGGGAGGAAAGCTGCCACCTGCATGGGAAACAGGCGGTGTCGACCAGCGCCGTCAAAGAAGAAAAGAAAATTGGGGTAGAGAGTCTAGGGTTTTCAGATTAGGTTTTGGGTGTTTGGAGACGAGGGCTTCACGTGCAATTTATGAAATTACGAGCCCCTACTTATCATTAAAACACAAAGGTCAATTTGCAATCACTTTAATCAAGGACCTATTTGCAATTTCGAAAATTGAAAGGCATTGTTATAATTTTAAATTAGGGTCAAAGTGTAATTTCAAAAGGATTTTGAATTTAATTCTGAATTTGGTTTTCAAAAGGGGATTTTTGACCCAAACTTTAAATTTGACCCATTTAAAATTAACGATTTTTATATTTTTGTTAAAATTAGATTTTAACTTAAATATTAAACTTTGACCATAAATTGAATTTTATTTTATTTGGAAGTTTTAACTTAAATTAAAATCTTAATTCAATTTAAATTAGAGTTGGACTCCAATTTAGTATTTAATTAAAATTTGATTTTAATTAATTATTCACCCCAATATATATTCTTGAATTTGACATTTAATCAAAATTTCATTTTGATTAAATTGTCTCGCCCTAAGTTTTTTCTTGAAATTAGAGTTAGACTCTAATATGATTTTGATTAAAATTAAATAGTTTCGCCTAAAAATTTTTCTTGGCATTAGAGTTGGACTCTAAATTTGTTACTAAATTAAAATTTGATTTTGATTAAGTTCAACCACCTTAAGTTTTGAAATTAGAGTTGGACTCTAATTTGATTTTAATTAAATAGTCCTGCCCTATAATTGTGGAATTAGAGTTGGATTCTAATTTGGTATTTAATTAAAATTTGATTTTAATTAAAATTTTTCGCTAATTAAATTAATTGATTAATATGATTAATTGATTATTTAATTGTTCTGATATATTTGTCTAAAATAGTTTAGACGACCTCAATTACTAGAAACTTAAAACGCGTTTGCATATAATATTAGATATTATATAGACATACATTTATGTGATGAATGTATTATTAGTGGACAATTATGGACTCAACCATGTGGATGTGCTGAATGGTTAATTTAATTCTTGTCATTTTATGAGCCTTCGAGCTCTTAATTTTTTGGGCCTACGAGCTCGTTATTGTTGTTATTATTATGAGTCTGGGAGCTCTAAATTATTTTGGGCATGTGAGCCCATTATTATTGTTATTATTATAGGTTTACGAGCTCTTAATCATTTTGGACATGCGAGTCCGTTATTGTTAT